ATGCTGATATCCTCTGCAGAGGGAGACCGCCTAACGTATGCATGCTGATATCCTCTGCAGAGGGAGACCGCCTAACGTATGCATGCTGATATCCTCTGCAGAGGGAGACCGCCTAACGTATGCATGCAGATAACCCCGTAGAGGGAGACCGCCTAACATATGCATGCTGATATCCTCTGTAGAGGGAGACCGCCTAACGTATGCATGCTGATATCCCCCGTAGAGGGAGACCGCCTAACGTATGCATGCTGATATCCCCCATAGAGGGAGACCGCCTAACATATGCATGCTGATATCCCCCGTAGAGGGAGACCACTGTCCGCGATCAAAACTTCACCACAGCAGACCTGGCATCCCCAGTGAGCCACACCAGCTTTATTTGTTTTTCTCCCTCTCTTTTCATCTACTCCTTTTTTCTCTTTCTCTCTCACTCTCCCTTTCAAAAAGGGCTTCATTACACTGCATGGCGCAGCGATAAAGATAACAGACAGGAGTTTTTCCCCTGTCCACGCCCGTCTCCGGCCACAGGAGTCATTCGTCATGAGTCTCGGCCACCCGATTAATTGCTCGCAAGCAGCCAGTCTCGCAGTCATTGATTAATGACGTACGGAGTGCACACGGGCACATTTGTCACATCAGGCGTCGCTCAGGAGATCCAAACAAAACCCCAAAGCAGATTTAACGTTTTCGGAATATATTTAACGTGAGCTGGAGGCCAAGTGGTTACATTCTCATGCACATACCTTTCTGGGCTCAGAGGAATGGACAATAAAAACTCTGCCTAGAGTTAAAACCATCCTCTCCGGCCTCACTGAACAGATTGGTCCACAGTCCTTCCTCAATCCATCCCCTCTGTGACACAAGGAGTTTCTTTTGTGTTTAGTAGAAAAGGGAGGCGCTGGATGGAATCCAAGGGCAAAATTAACTGTACGGCAAATTGACTGGCCCTCGGCAAAGGGCAAGGGATGCTATTTTATCCACCATCAGGCTTTCATTAAAACACAGAGGTGCCATTAGCACAAGATTTAAAAGCCTCCCCTTCTTAATAGGCCGCTCGCCGCATACCCTGCAGCAAGGGGCCGCAGTGTCCCTGCGGATCCAGCGGGGGCTCAGCTCCCCCAGAGGCGAATCCGGTCCAGTCACGGATCATCAACTAATGTGTGCAAAGAGCCATCTGTGGCCCAAACCGGGTCACGGGTCGCTAGAAACAGAACAGGGGTCCTGTGCCACTGCTCCGCTCCACTGAACCACTAATGTCACCGCGTTGCATGTTTGGGTCCGGTTCTGAGGTGTGTTGCTTCATTACTGAGCAAAACTAGCAACCATGGAGCATGTGGAATTTGGGTCTGGGTCATGGACCATAGAACACATCTGAATTGCGATTGATGGGGGGGTGGGGAGTCATATGCTTTGAAAGGTACATATTATGGATGTATGAACAGAATTTTTTATTTTTTATTTTTTTTGAATAGAGCTTTATTGGTTTGCATTAAATTATTTGTAGGTAATTTGTTTTGTTATTGTTCATCACCACATGATGCTCCAAAAGTCCCCTGGCCAGCCAGTGCCCTGGTTCTTCATCTGGTTGGTGTCCTGGACTGGCCCTTATGGGTCACAGACTACCCATAATGCTCGGATCTTCCCTGTCAGCATGTGCTGAATGGAAGAAATGTAACCAAGGTGGGATGCCTGTGTGTGGGGGGGGGAGGGGCCTCACCCAATGTGCATAGCGACCATCTTAGGGGACGGTGTCACTCTCGCAGCTTCATATTTCAGCAGGCAGCCATATTCACCACCAGTGACAGTCAGCACTGTAACCCTGACCACTAACAGGCTCGTTATCACCAGACCATAATTTCATCTCCCATACCACCATGACTCGAGCCTGTGTCTGCCCCGGGGTGCTTGTCTGCCTGGACTGCCCAGTGCTCTGGGGGGGGGGG